GCAGAGTTGACCAATGGTTGCACGAATTAAGATGAAACTGAACCATTATTTTGGTTATAAATTTACACGACTTCCAAACTTTGTTCCAAAGCAAAATTGTTTGCTTTTAAATGGCAGAGTAGTATACATCAATTAACGGCTGTTAGAAAGACCAACTCTGAGAAAAGTATTGCTTCATTGAAAATCACACGTCTAAAGAAACATCCGTTATTTACAATATTCTTATAATATTAAAAATATATTTTTTTAAGCAAATAACAAATAACAACAAAATAAATAAAAAATAACACTAATGCTAGTGGAAATTAAAGTGCTTTTTTATTTTACTTGCTAGTCTAATTGTAAAATTCGTAATTTTATGATATAATGAAATTACCTAAAACTCTGCATTTTGATATCACTTCTTTGTTCATATTTCAAAATTACACAAAATAACTTTCAGAACAAAAATAAACAAGGAAGGAAGGGCTAAGCTCGGAAGTAACCGAATATTTTCTACAATTCGCGAAGTCAAATGGTATACTCGTTTGAGAAAAAAAATATTAATACCCACGGACCGCGTAGTATATGGAAGTTGAGGGCAGAATTAACCCGATTTTATCAATTTTTGTCAATACCACTACTAACATGCCACAGCCTAACAAAATGCTCCCATTGTTTCATTAAGGTACCTCACATACCATCACAAATCATATGGAGTAAAGTCAGAGGAATGTTCGAAAATGCTGATATTTGTTACATGGGGGCTAGGAAAACTTTTCACCCTATTTCATCCATTTTAGGCACAAAGATACCTTATTATGAGTAAAACACGCTCTCTCATTTTCATTGAGATAACACACATATTGGCCGATGCATGCCAATATAAAGTCACCCGGAAGTTCAAAAATATTTATATAAGGTATATGAGGGCTATAAGAAGTATTGATCCGATTCAACCCATTTTTTGACATAAATCCATACTATTATCAAGAGTTTAATTTATTTATTTTATTTATATACCTTACACATTGACCGATATTTTCGGTAAAAATTCAACTATAGGCACTGGGGTCCACATATTCAGTACGTAGGGGCTTGAACAGTTTTGGTTCGATTTCAACAATTTTTGGTCACAAGGTGGCATACTTTAAACACATTATTCACGCTAAGTGTTACTCCGATACAATCATTGTTGCTTGATTTGTATAGTCGAAAGTGAAAGAATCAGATGGAAATTTAAAATAGTGTTATAAATAAAATAGACGTGGTTGTAATATAGAAATGTGAGAAAAATGTTATGTAACGAAATTGGTTAAAATCAGTTAAGCAGATCCCAAGATATGGGTTGTGGGATATGGCTAAAAGTGAGCGGTGCCCGCCCACTGTCTAATTTTGAACGCGGTTCCTATAAAGTCATCTCATGCCATCCCACAGTGGGCCAGATTTTCAAAAAAGCTGGCCAAAACTCAAAAAAATAAAAGTGAACAAAAATGGTTTAAACAAGTTATTTTCTAATCTTTGATGCATTGACTTTAAGCATGTAAAAGCATTTTGATGTATCTTGTTTAGTTTCTTAGTAATGTGATATTATTTATTTCGTAATTTTATTAATTTACATGTAAATTAAATGGGAACAATAAACGGCATTTTTCCTTTTCTATAACAAGTGTTCCGTGCATTTCCGCGCAGTACCACGGTCAGGAACTTCTTAAGGGCACTTAAGAGTGTGACCTCAAATCAAAAAATCTTGCGACAACTTGCGACTTCGTGATTTTTCAACCATCCAGTAAAAATCCGTTATAGTATTATGGGCTAAATATTGACTTCCTTATGTTATACGAGTAACCCGCCTCCCTTTACGATACTAGTTCACGCGCGGCCGCTAGGTGGCGTCGGTCAAACTGCATGTAAGGTTGTGCAGTTCCGTGCTTATATAAGCGAGAGTTTTTCGGGTATTCCGAATTCGAGTTCGCTTTCCGCTCTCGTTGGAGATTCAATCTCACGGGTCAGATAGTTGAAATCGAGAAGTTTGCAGCCGAAGTCACTCTCCGCTACACCTCCAGCCTGCACTGTCTCACACCCTTGAGGCTGATCACTTGTTTATCCAAAAACAACTAATTGAGCTTTACTTAACGGCAACAATAGTTGCTTCCGACTTGAAGTCGGTCAAACTCGTAGAGAGTTTGAAGATCCGGGGGTCAGTGCTGTGTCCTCCCCGGGTCAAATCGGGAGAGCCGCCCTAAGCCAGCCTAACTTGGTTGTTTAAAATGAGTTTCATGGGGACAAGAAAAGAGTTTTATGAACAATAAATTTCAACGAAAATACGATTGGCTTCAAGTAAAAATATTAGTTAAGAAACCTGCAATCCAAAGTCAAGGAGAAAAAGGCGGACGACCTACTCGAAATTTTCAAGACTCATCTGAAAGATCAAAGCGCAGAAAAACTGATGATTTGAAAAGCAGCACTGGAACAGATGAGCTGCTTTATGCAGCGCAAATGAAGCTTAGAAGTGAAGGTCAAAACGCAGCTGCTAAAATAGTGAAACAAATCAATGAGTTATCATCAGAAACCAGCAAGGTTGTTATTAAAGTTCTACAGCAACCAGCGAGTCAACAAAATACATTTACTTTTACACATTCAATCGCAATTTAAAACTCAAATGGGTCTACTGGTAGATATACCAAAAACCGGCGGAAGTGGCACAACAAACGACAGTAACACTGCACGTAGATTTTTCGAAGATACATTAAAATCGTCTGAAATAACCGGGATTGATGAGAATTTAATTAGAAGATTGAAAGTTATTCTTCAGACTCTGGCTTGTGGATTCGCTATAAATGCAAATGCATAGCAACAATATGCTCTTGAAACTGCTAGACTTTTTGTTGAAAAATATGGTTGGTATAAAATGCCCGCGTCTGTTCACAAAATCGTTCTACACGGTGCAGTCATAATTTCAAACTCAATTTTGCCAATCGGGCAGTTATCAGAAGAAGCACAGGAGTCAGGTAACAAAAATTATAAAATGTACAGGCTAAGTCACACAAGGAAGTTTTCACGAACTCATACAAACCAAGATTTATTAAATATTCTTCTCGTCTCATCAGATCCTTTAATTTCGAGCTTACAAAAAACTCCAAGAAAAAAATCTAAATAATTTTCAGCTGATTTCATTGCTCTTTTGAAAATGCCTGATATTCCACAAACTATCACACAAAACGAAGAATCGGAAAACGATGCAACCTCAGATGAGGAATAAAACAAAGTTTATTAAAATTTAAAAAATTTTAAAAATTTAGAAAATTAAAAAAATCAAAAAAAAAATAAAAATATTTAAAAAATACCAAAAAAAATATAAAATATAAAAAGTAAAAAAAAAAAACTAAAAATAAAAAAAAAATAAAAAAAATGAAATGCGTTTAAAAGTCCCACCCCATACCTTCTCGTGGTAAAGCGCGTAAGTAAATTTATAAAATTGAAACTAATTGGGCGAGGGCAAGTTTCCAATTTAAGTATAAAGGTAGCCTATATATATGTTTCTTTACTGTGGCTATCAAAGTCTTAAGTACACAAATTTTCAGTGTTGAATCTTAATTTTTCAGTCGTTTAACCTCAGAAGAACTTTAGAAAATTGTTGAATTATCTTAAAACCATGTTTTTCAAATTCAGCGCATCAAAAAACATAGGTATACTAATTTTTAGTTCGAAATTCGAATTTTTTTAATGTTTTACCTTAAAATGACCTTGAAGAACTCTTTCAATCATCTTAAAACTATGTTTTTCGAAGTCAGCGCATCAAAAAACATGGGTATACTAATTTTTGTACCGTTATCTTATTAATTAGAGTTTTGGCCAGCTTTTTTGAAAATGGCCCACTGTGTATCCCAGAGATAAAATTTAATGTCTCTGACGTGTTTAGTGATTGATTTATCTAGCTTTTAGTAGTTTTTAACAACGGGGTTGTCACCGATTTCACCCATTTTCACACTGTCGATAGAGGTGCTAAAAAGACTTGTTTTCAGTGAATTTTGTTATTATAGCTGTAGCATATTAAACCTATTAGTGGATGGGACAACGCCCACTTCTAAACAAAAATTATAACTGCAGATGTCCCTCCCTATTGTGATCCTGTATACAAAATAACAGTATTTTATCTTTTTGTGGAGCTTAGTTATGGAAATTTATTTATGTTTTATTAATATTTATCTGCAATACCAACCTTCTTACGTTACCAAGAAATATGTGTACCAAGTTTCATATATATATCTCAATTTTTACTCAAGTTACAACTTGCACGGACGAACGGACAGACAGTCACCCGGATTTCAACTCGTCTCTTCATCCTGATCATTTATATATACATAACTCTATATCTAACTCGATTAGTTTTAGGTGATACTAACCACCGTTAGGTGAACAAAACTATTATACTCTCTAGCAACATGTTGCGAGAGTGTAAAAATAAATTCTCATTAAGCGGTCATTTCAGAAATAAAGCAATGGCGGATTATCGATTTGTACAAGTGTTATTATTGTATTAGCCAAAAAGAGCTACTTTAATAGAAAGATAATTGTTCAGTTAGTTGTAACGTTTTCGAAACTTTTAAAAATATTATAAACTCATAAACTTCATCTAAGAAGTTTTTGCCGCAACACTAAAGCAGCTTTGGCTTAAAAGGGCTTTGATAATAATTCAAAATTTGAAATTTTTTAAGGACATATTTTTGAGTCATTAGACTGAACAAAATTATTAGAACAGAATTAAAGTATGCTTAGATATATATTGCAGCTAACTAGTAGCTAGTAGAGATATATATTAACAATATAATTAATTAAAAATATGTTTTCACTTTTCTTCTCGTACCCTATTGCAATTTTCTTGTTTTTGCTATTTGCAAAAAACAATACTAAACATCAACTGATGGATCTCTTTTATAATCCGAATGCTATTAACATTTTAATGAAATGGAAATCTATTCAACTTTTACTGCCGTCTGGCATATTTTAACATTTTAATGATGCTGCTGCTGGTGCTACTCGCAAATCATGTGCCACGCCATAATCATTTGTTGAATCATGGTTATGTCAACGATGATGACTTTGCTGGACAACATAACAATGACTATAAACATTATGTCACCACCATGCAACGCCATACAATGCAATATCAACACTACAATTCTGACTGTTTGGTCCCGCACTATTTTACTTGTTTCGTTGTTGTTACGTCATTCGCTCTTGCGGATTCTCCTCGATTATCCCACCAGCACAGATATGATATATACGAGAGGGCTCCAATGTAACACTGAAATGTGCAGCAGTTGGCTCACCAACACCAACCAAAACGTGGCGACGTGAAGGTGGCGAACACATACCGCTGCCCAACAATACAGAAGGTGAGAAATATTTTAACTATTTATTTAAAGAAAATAAAATACATTATCATCATTTATATTACATATAAGGCGATTAGTCAAATTATGGAATTATTGGAATTTAATATCATTTTAGCTGAATGTGTTGAATCGTGTATTGAAATTCGAACTAGCAAATACTATTTATTTAACAGTAACGATATGATCTTTATGTTTTGAAAATGTCTCATCTGCTTGTGATCTTTTTTATCATTTAAATTTCATTCGCACAAAGTTGGTGGGTAATGAAAATAAACCGATCACTGCTATATGACTCTTCATTGTATAGAGAATAAACCGATACAATTGCATTGCAATTAGTCTTCATATATTGCAAGTGCAAACGAAATGAATTTGTAATCTTAGTTGAAAAAGTTCTATGAACATATTGTTGAAAATGCTTACTGTACTGCAATTAGTCGGAATAAAAGTAGGAAGTTTAATAAAACAGTTTATTAAAAACTAAAAACATGAATTCCAGATTTTTGTTACAAAGTTCAAATTTGTATGTAACTGAAAAACGTTGTTGTTGTAAAAGGGAATAATCATAAAATACGTATATTAATTAAATATCAATAGTTTAACCTGACATTGAATTTAAAATGCGCCTTGTGAGTATTTTTAAACTTAATTATATGTTCAACAAATTTATTTCATACCTCTAAGAAATAAGTTAATATGTTTATTTTTATTTTAATCAAATCTCTGATCAGAAAGAAATATATAACTAAACTGGAACATAGCTAACCTGCACTTGCATCTACAAGTATGTTAATATTTATATTAAAACTTTGAGGATATATTTATGCGTATTTAATGGACGCACACAACAAATTTCTTCGAAAAGTTATTTTTAGTGTGTTATTCGCTGATTTCCTCATATATTATATTTCGTTATTGCAGTGATTGTGGCATTAGCCGTGTCACAAAACAAACCATACAAAAAATTATAATAAATAAGTAAGGTTTTCCAGTTTAATGACAGACTTTGGAAAATGTTCGAATTTTGCTCCAAAATAGGATTTTTGCCCCACCAAAACTGTATTATTTCGCACCCCTCAAATATTCTGAAGTTACTCATAAGTTGTGCAGAGTGAGAAAGTTCTTCAAACAAATTAAACTATAGCAAAATCAATTTAGTTGAATGGAGGAATTGCTAAACATAAACTTAGGAATACATGCAAATGTATATATGTACATATTTTTAAAACTTAAAATAATAAACAAATAGACATTAAGTGACTTAATGCTTTTTTAAATTCAAATAATCTCTCTACCATGCATAAAATATTATCAATACTAGTTCCTGACTTTGTTAGTATCCTCCTTTGTTAGTATGGCTCCTTCCTGACGATCACTAAGGTACAACGCCTCAATATGGGAGCATATTTAAAAACAACCAAGAGTTCATTACTGTATTACAATCATTATTTTATTATACATTTTGCCGCTAACTAACACTACAATGTCTTTCATCGTCGTTTTTCTCAAGCAGTTCCAATGACTTATAAAAACAAGAAAAAACATTAACTTCTTTTGCACCGAAGCTATAATATCCTTCACAAGTACAAGGTTCCTTACAAGAACTTGATTCCGATCGTTCAATTTGTATGACAGCTATATGATATGGTGATCTGATCTGAACAATTTCTTCGAAGAATACATTGTTGCCTTAAATAATAACTCGTGACTAATTTCGTGGAGAGACCTCGTCAAATAAAAAAGTTTTCCGTGCAAGTACTTTACTCCGAACGTTCGGTTAATATGGTAGCTATATGCGTTCCGACAAATCAGCAGCTTTTTAGTGAAGAAAGGACAGGTGGAAAATTTCAGATTAATAGCTTAAAAACTGAGGGACTAGTTTGTATACAAGTATATACCGACAGACGAACATTGCTAAATCAACTCAGCTCATCATGCTGATCACTTATGTATATAAATTTTTTTCCGTCTACAACGTTTCATTCTGGGTGTTACTTCATTGCAAACTTAAAATACTCTGTTCAGGATATAAATCTTCAATAATTTTGGGTTAGTTCTAAATTCATGATTTTTGAGTTACATTGAAATGTTTTTTTTTTTTTTAGTTTAAAATGAAATAGTCTCAGAAGTCAAGATCTTTAGGTAATTAAGTGGGACGAGGTTAGTACTAAATTCTTAGTGTTCAAGTGAGGCCCTATAGTCTACCTAGTCTTCGGTATTTTGTATATACCTGAACTAGTGCCTTAGTTTTTGAGATATCGAACTACAAAAGTCCTTTTCTTTTCTTAAAAGTGCTCATTTGTCGGAACCGTCGATATCGGACAAAAACTGATTGATCAAAATCAGGAAAGAAAGAAGATCTTATTCCTTATTAAGTAACCTTTCTATATATGAAAATTCGTGGCAAGAAAGAACTAGCATAATGTTTTCTGTGAGATGCCAACAGTTGACCAGTTTCAGTTTCACGCCGGCAAAAAGCAAAATTTCATAGAAACCACTTCTTAATTTTGTTGACGAGAAGTTGTTGCACAAATGAAATAGAAATAATAAAGATGTGACAACTTGCTGCCAACAAACGGCGCCTTGTTGCAAGTTTTATTAATGCATTTAAATTGACTTGGTCTGTTGAACTCTCCTTTGAAAGTGAGTGCAATAGTTTCACAACTCATTGACTGAGGAATATGCCACAAACCCTTGCTAATAGAATATTGCAGCCACAATTATCACTTAGTAAGTTGTTAATGAAGGAACTAAACGTATACTCCCAAACATAGAAATATAGCTTAAAAATATTTTTAAATGTGAAGTTTCCAGTGGGAGCGAAACCCAGGTTAAACTCTTGCTAATTGACTCAATTTTTTCTTAGAAAGGAGTTTCAGAAGTTTAGGTTAGGTTCAATGGCTGAAACTCAAGAAGGGACTTGGACTACATGGACTGTACCTTTGTGAATCCAAAAAATAGAACTCCTGTAATTAGATTTTATAAATTCACAGAGCACCATGAGGCCAATACAAATTTGTGTGATATTTTAATATAGACTGGTTCAGATGGACGTCTGAAAGTATGAGCTGCCAAGAGCCTAAGCCTTGATCTCGCGCAGGCTGGACGATCAAGAAAAAAGTGTTAAGATGTTTTTACTTTCCCTTCTTCCTAACAGATTCTGCAACTGGCATACTTCTTATACGCAACCATACCGTTTGGACAGCTAGTAGGCAATGACTATTTAGAACCTCTACAACTAGTAAAAGGATAGCCTTACTAAGGATAAAGAGCTCACAGCGCAATAACTAATGGTAGCCCGCTGATCAAGCTTCCGCGAAGTCCAGATATCCAGTAATAGAATGTTCTCTTGTATTGATAGCGTGGCAAACGCTTTTTCATTCCCATTAGCTTTACAGTTTCCTGTCTTATTTAGTTCGATACAAAATTTTTTGTGAAGATGAATTTGATAAATGCCGTTGGTTAAAAATGTCCCTTGACAGTTTTATTTTCGTTATATTGATATATAACTGATGTTTTTTTATCTCGGTTGTTCCTTCTTACAGTTCCTCCAATTATTTGGATACAAAATCAGCTTGTTGGTGCTGCTACCGGCCAAAATATATCACTTGAATGCCAGTCGAAGGCGTATCCGAAGTCTATCAATTATTGCACGAAAAATTACACGATAATTGTGCCGGGTAAGAAAAAAAAAGATTATTGTATGTTATTATTATGCACTCTTAGAACTTTAAGGCACTGGTTTAATCCCATTTGATTCTCAACTAACGTATGTAGGTATTTTGAGCCAGAAGTTCGAGTACACCTAACAGAATTGCTTACAACAGATTGTTTAAAATAATATGCTCAAATAGTAAAAGCAACAGGTCTTAATGACTGCACCTTGCATTGCCACCGCCTTGTTTTCACATATCAAAAAGTAAAGTCAGAAATATATATTCGTATACATACCTAGCTACGAATGTACGTATATTCGACAGTGGTTAAACGAAAAAAAAATTTTGGTCATGGAGTTAACTACTCTCCTATTTAAAAAAAACATATTTTTTAAAGAAAAGTTAACTATCCTATATAGTTTCCATACAGGATGACACATTTTATATTGCAATCTATCAACTTTTCGATAAAAATCATACAATAAACGGTATAAATTTTGATTGATAATACGTCTCAGTTTATGCTCGGGATGAGTAAGCAATTCGAAAGTCAGTTCAACTTTCAGAGAAAAGTCTGGTATTTACTTATCGTCCATAACATCTTTTTTTCATACAATACAAACACTCATGTAATTCTAAAATCACCTCTGTTAAAAAAAAATACGAATCATATTTTGTACACTACGTAAAAATTGTAAAGCAAACCATAAACACGATTTGTAGGAGCGACTTTCAATTATTAAGTATAAAGTATGTGTGAATAATGCTAATATAGATATGAACATAATTGAATTAGATTAAATTGAAATTTAAGGAATGCACTGTGGCCTGTGGTCTATTGTGTTCTCCCCATCATTACAACACTTCGTTTAACCCAGTCAAATCAAAGAGGCTTAATAAAAATTCTGGGTTATTGGTTTTAATATATTCTATCACTGGATCTAACTGCCTGATAGCTTAACTTGTGTGCTCTGATGTTCATGCTATTTGGTCACAAAAGCGACACAGATCCGTGGAACAGTACCCTAACCTGTGCAGATGATCACCGCAGCCTGCAGTGACCTGTATAAAATCCTACAAGCTGCCTTAATTTGTTTCTGGAATAGAGCTTGCATAGTTTAGGTTTGCACTTCGCTAACAATAGCAGTAAATATGCTCTTAAATATGCATATGGGTATGTATGTACTATATTAAGATTCGCACTTACTAATGCAAATAGATCCTTTCACACGGCTGCCAACTTCCTGTTATACTACAGTATTAACCAAACAAAAAGTAAATATGTATGTTCGTTAGGCGAAAAGGCGACGGTGAACATTATAATTTTACAACAACTAATATCATTTTTATTAAAAATAATAACATTTGAACTGTTAAAAATAAAATCTTGGCTTGGCTTCTTTTCAATTCAAAAATTTGTAAAATTCGTTTTTGAAAAATAAAAAAATCGAAATATACAGACTATACAAATAAATACAGGTTGGTGGGTCTAACCAAGAAACAGCACTACTAGCTCCAATTTTTTTTAAAGTTGGTACATCTGTTGTGATAACACATGCAAAGTTACAAGTTTTTCTGTGATTAGATTCTTTGTTTTGAAAGTTTTAAAAGCAGAGGAAATTAATGAACAGTTGTTACAAATCAAAACACACCATAAATCCATATGTATCTCAGACGAACGAGTATGTACTTCATATTTTACATGGAGAATTATATATGAAAAAGCTGTTTGGAAAGCTAGTGCCGCACACGTTAACAGTTTAACAAAAACTGGAGCGAAAGCAAATTTTTCAGCATAACTTGGAGCGTCTTAAGCAGAACCAAACCGATTTATTGCGTCGTTTTATAACTATGGATGAGGCTTGAATCTACCACCATGATTGTAAATTGAAACAAGGACGTTTACAGTGGACTCAAGCTGGTTGTTCAGCTCCAAAGCAAGTGAAGTCAGGACGATTAGCAATGAAGGTTATGGCAGCAGTTTTTTTGCAGTACTCGTTTTGTAGACGGTTATTTTGCAGAGCTTCCGGAAAGTCATTATAGGGACGGAACAAAATTATTGGAGGATCATTGGAATTAGTGTATTGAAGTAAGGGGAGATTGCACTGAATAAGAAAATATATTTTTTACCTAAAACAGTATTTTTTCATTTCGAGCGCAGAAACTTTTCAACCAACCTGTGCTATACAAATATACGATCGAGGATCAATAAAAATAAAGTAGAAAGAAAAACAAGTTGTATTTCATGTAGTTCATTTAAATCCATAAGTTCGATAGATTTATTATTCCGTTACCTAAATGGATGTGCATATGTATGTTTGGTGGCGGTTTTGGAGGCGTATGCAAATTAAGTCGACAAAAATTCAAGAACTTCTAGCAGTTTTGTAGTTGAGTGACACACATACACGCAAATAAATTAAAATTTCAAAGTTAATTAAGTTCAGATGGAACGAAATCAGAATTTTTAATTTTTGACTGTATTTCTTTCAAACTAATTTCTTCAACCTAATAAATACTATTTTTATTTAACTTAACATATTTTTAATTTCTTAAGTATTTATAATTGGACCTACTTTGAAAATCGAATGGTGTCCACAATAGCTATTTATTATATTTCCGTAGGCGGGTGCTATTTTCCTGTTTGCCATATATATGTTTATGTACCTTTTTGCAGAAAAATCAATATGTTTCTTTGACTAATGTAGTACCCAGCACAGAGTCGAGTCTTACGTAGTTCTTTGCGAAATTTCAGTATTCTTAATTATACAAGGCATAATTTAAAACACACGTAGCTATAGAAAAATATCATACTAGCACATCATATTTTGATATTTTTTTGCAGGTGAACACTTTTCATCCGAAACATTTGAGAGTGGCTACAAAATAACGATGCGATTAACCATAAAATATGTTGACACAGCGGATTTTGGCTCTTACCGTTGTGTGGCGAAAAATTCTCTTGGCTATACAGATGACACAATTAAAATATATCGTAAGTGAACGATGAATATGGAAAACAAACATGTGTTAAAAAGACTAGAGAGTGTTAGCCATGCTAACGGTTACTACAATTTTGCTTACATTTGTTATAAGTCTCGTTCTGTGCATTCAGAAAAATTTTTGTTTTTTTTTGTTTCCGCCCATTTTTGGAGCGCTATTCTCTAGATTGTTGTTTTAACTTTTTCTATGTTATCGTCATTAGCAGAAGATGGACAACTCGGATGAGATAACTCGGACGTCTTCACGCCTTTCCCTGAACACTTTGTACCACTCAAGTACTTGTGTGCGGTGCTTCCCGAAAAACACTCCTGCAACATTTTCACCGACAATGCCATTGCCAACACAAAATTTCAAGAAAATTCTTTATGAAATTTTTTCCATGGCAAACATCGCTAGACAAACCTTTCGCGTCGTAAACAAACAGCTGCCAAACACACAGGTTGTACCAATCTAGATTATTAACCGATTTAATATCTTTGGTCAAGTTTTATTTCATCTTTATTATGTAAGACTATTCACAAGGTGAACGAAAATTAAAAAAATTTTTGTGGAAAAGAGTATGTTAGACCAGAGAAAAGTCAAGACATCACATTCATTGTTCATTATACGAAACAAATGGAATACTGTCGAGAAATAGTTGAAATTATTAGATCGAAAAATATATATTTGATGTGTGTGAATAATACAGATTATTTTTAACTGCTGAAATACATTGACATCGGATTCAGTCCATTAAATTTACTGAATAACATACTCATACTGGAATAAATGTTTGAGAGTTGTAGAAAATTCGGAATAATTCATGGACACCTCACATATGTATATACACCTACAGTTATTATAGAGGGCGATCCAAATAGAGGTATTCTTTTCAAAAACCGTTTTTTTGACAAATTGCGCGTGAGGCTCGTCAAACTGTTATTTTTGTTCAGTGTTGTTTGGCATTTTATCACGAAAGACGAAAAGAACGTTTACAAATTGTTCAACTTCATTACGAAAATTCACGTTTTGTAAAGAATGTATTTCGCGCGCTTCGATCAACTTATGGTCAACATAATCATCAAGCCGCTCGACCTTCCCAAGCGACATTGCTTCGCTTAATGGGCTCTTGAAAACTTCCAAGAAGATTCAACGTTTTCGAGCCAACTTTTTTTCAGCGATGAGGTCCATTTCTGGCTCAACGGGTATGTAAACAAGCTAAATTGCCGCATTTGGATAAAGAGCAACTTGTAGAGATTCAAGAGCTGCTATTTTATTTAGAAAAAAAACGGTTTGGTGTTGAATCACCAGTCCATATTTCCTCAAAAATGAAGCCAATGAGAACGTAACCGTCAATGGCGACTGTTATCGCGCCAAGATAACCGACTTTTTGATGCCTAAGTCTAAGCTCATAATCTCGGCGACATTTGGTCCAATCAAGACGGTACAACTTTCCACACGTTGCACCTATCAATGGATTTATTAAAATAACACTTTGTAGAGCAGATAAATTTACGTTTTGGGCCGACGATTGGTCACCAACATCGAGTGATATCACACCGTTAGACTCTTTCCCGCTTCGATTCAGGCCTTAGATCAAAACACCACGCGTGTCATTCGCCAGTTGCCAGTCGAAATGTTCGATCGAGTCATCGAAAATTGGACACAACGGATGGAACATCTAAGACCAACATTAAAGAGAGACAATCTTCTAAAAATAAATGCCAAAAAATGATTTTTCGAATCAAAATAAAGAAGTATAGAAACTCGAAATGTATAACACTTTAATTATTCCTTTAGAAATTAACAATTACTGAATAGAAATGAGGTGTTTGTAAATATATCCCAAGTATGCAAACATTTTTAATATTGTTACAGTATTCTAAACTATGAAATTTTTTAAATACAAACAAATATTTCTGAAGTAATAAATAAATATGGTAGAACAAACAGGACAACTGGAAGATTTTAATGATAAATTTAAACACAACACAATCAAATGCTTTACCATAATTATATCAACTCGTTTAGTCTTCAAGCCATATAATGTAATATTTAACTATTTATATGAAAGCTTAAACCTTAAGTGGTTTGAAATAAGATTGCGGTTAGAGAAATTAGAAAATGTAAAATTTACTGTGTGAATGCTTAACAATAGTTTCTTACGTACTTACAAACGTAGTTGTGATTTTTGGTGAATTTTTTATTTCCCTCATCTCTAGACTAAATTGACTGTGCCTTAGCTGGCAGCAACCTATTAGTATTGCATAGTTAATGTGGCACTAATTGTAATGAAGTTGAGCAGGAATATACATATGCCACACATACACTCACAATCAAAGCATACGCTTAGGTGTTCAAATGCTACTTTAAACTTATGTACCAGATATATTGGCCAGGACCCATAGCCAATTAAGTCAACAGTCAAGTTGCTGTGCGGCTAACCAATTTGAGAATTGAAAGCACGTGTTAATTATTAAGTTCGGTGTTACTGGATGTTAAATCGAAAAGTTTCGGTTCGAAAATAATTAAATATACAAGGTGCGTTCCAAAGTAAAGAGGACTTTAAAAAAAGGCAGAACAAATGGTTTTATCGGCAAAAATCAATTAATTTTATTCAAAATAGCAGCCGCCTTTAATACACCTTTTGGAATGGTCCAAAAGCATGTCGAACGAGTGTTTTATGCGTTGCCCTGTATGGCCGCCAGTATGCAAGCCTTTGAATGGCCTCCACGTCTGCATACGCTTTAATTTCATCGGCAAATGCATGTTTCCGAAAAGGTAGAAGTCGCACGGTGCCATATCAGGTGAATACGGGGAGTGGTTGATTGTTAAAATGTGATTTTTGGTCAAATAATCGGCCACAAGCCTCGATCGATGAGACGGCGTATTATCGTGCAACAAACGTCAACTTCCATCTTCACGATATTCGGGCCGAACACGTCGAATAAGGCGCACCAAACGCTTCAAAACTCCAAGGTAGAATACCGCATTAATGTTTTGGCCGGGTGGAACAAATTCTTTGTGGACAATACCCTTGGAATCATAAAAACAAATCAGCATTGTCTTCACTTTTGACTTCTCCAGGCGCGATTTTTGGGTTTCGGCTCATTTCTCATTTATGTCCTCACGAGCACTTTGAAAACGTTGAAACCACTCGTGCACTCTGCTACGGGATAGGCAATCATCGCCATGAACTTGTTTCATCAATTGAAACGTTTCGGTAAAAGTTTTACCAATTTTAAAACAAAATTTAATGTTGGCTCATCTTCGCACCGATGACATAAAAATATTGACACTTAAAACGCTATAGCTTCACCTCCAATAGATGAAATGTCATGAAATTTTTACTGGAAGTCGATAAAGGATAGCAGAGTCTAACGCACTAGTCGACATATAGATGGCGCCACTAGATTTTACTTTGTTACTTTTTTTACTGTTTACTTTGGAACGCACCTTGTATTTATAAATAACTTAGCATTTTCTGTTGTATTATGTTTGAAACCATGAAGGTGTAACTTATTTGCTTAAATAATAGTAAAAAGGTAGTAGTAGTAATTTTAATTAATCAAGCAACAATAGAAAGAAACCACATTAAAAAGAAACCTTTCAAAATTTAATTGTAATAGTGTTGCATAGCGAATACATATTATATAATGTCTAGTAAAAAGAAATTCATTCTTTTATTAATATATGGTATTAGTAGTCTACATTTTTATCAGGTTACAGAGATTAGATAAGATTTCGTATTAAAAAAACTTCAGAGATAGGTTTGTAATTGGATGTTGGCCAAGCCAGGATTGACTGTCAGGAAGACTTCTATGTCTTTGATGAGATAAGCGAGAAGTCATGAAGTGCTTCCCGGAACTTGCGCTGACAACAATTGGACAGTCAGAAGGAAGCACCCGAAAGCACCAAGCTTTAGCTAATACTAGTTGAATTGTGTTTCATCAGGATACACCAAGCCATTCACATCGAATGTCACTCGCTAGAAAATTCAGAAGCTTTGTTAGGAGTTATTACTACCTGCCTTTGTCTAAGGCGAATAATTCTACTGACGAAATTGAAAAAATCGCCTTAAGAGGATTTTATGGAGATCGGCGGTCTCAGCTTTTTGCCAGTATGGACAAGGGTTTAGAGTGGAATTAAGAAATCTGTTTAAACATAGCAACAAATTATCGAACAAAACAGTGCATATTTCACCTAAATCGGATCAGTTTAACTATGCTAAATAAAATATTTCATTCGAAAGGAATGGATTTATTTTTACTAGAAACTTAAAGTTTTTAATTAAAAAGAATTATTTTCATTAATACTTTATACATTTTTTTTTATTTTACATCCGTCTGTTTTTATATGTTTGCTTCCACTTAAATTTATATAACAAATTTTTGCATTCTATTCACTTTACATATTTTTCTCTTTACTTGTCTATCTTCTATATTTTCCTATGTTTCATTGCAGACATTCCACAAACAACGACAGTAACCACAATAGCACCGACGGTGGCTCCAACAACCGTGCCAGTGGTGATTGCGAAAAACAACAGCAAAGGTGTGTTTTAATGGAAAATACCGAACAATTATAAATTTACTTAAATAAATACTAAAACATAATTATTTCTCACATTTAAGTTGATTTTGTTGCTCCAAAACACCTAGCATGTTCTCCTTCTCACAACAAGTTACATATTTAGATACCGTTATGTCCATAAAATCCAATTCAGTTCAGTTCAATTCAATTCAAAAGTCCTCATGCTTCGTTTAAATCGTCCACTCTGCTTGTCTTTATAAGATAAATAGGGTTTTAGAGGGATGCGCCGTAGATGTACCTACTTTATCCCTTGTTTGTACTTATGAATGTACATATTCGTATGCCCCTGAACCAATATATGAGTATGCTTATGATGCGTTTTTAAACAATGTGGACTTATTGCATATATGTAAGATTTTTTTTTATTTCCAAATGGCAACTACTACTCTTATGGATATTTGCGTTGACAAAATAGTTAAACAATTCAGTAAAAAAGTGCATCGCACAAAATCGAACCCAGCACATATTTCATTGTCATCATCATTAAATAATGTTTATATTGGGGCCACATTGAGCTTATGGAATTCACACGATAACAGCACGGGGAGAGAGCATAATCAATGTGAGCATATAAAAGAGAGGTTGCTGTATATTCCTATGGAAAGCTTTAATGACCTTAATTTGCTATCAGGAAACGATATCAGCACCATTGTTAAGATCTCTAGGGTATGTTCAGACTTTGCCCATTCCCTACCTAATAGTTAGACTTTTTTTTTTCTTCGCAGACTGCTAGAGGGGAAACAACTCGAATCACTAGGTTCATTGTATAATTGAGCAATGGCACGGTATAGAACACTTTATGATTAATGCAATGAAAAATTTCAAATACTATTCTGCAATTTTCTTTGATGTCCGTCTGGCATTTGAAAAGGTCTGGCACCTAGATCTAAGCTTTCAAATCTTACTTGCATAATCAATCATTTTATGTCAAGTGCCACGATCCGGAGTTCGATCTGAGACCCCTATATGCTGGTGTACTCCAAGGCAGCGATCTCGTCCATTTGTTACACATTTTCTACACAGCAGGCCTTCCAGTGATTAACTTTGAATCCACACTTATCGCAACCTAAGCGAATGACACAGCATTAATAGGACCGAGCGACAACCTACTGCCGCCTCCAGGAAAATGCAGACGTTATTTGACCGCCACTATTCTAGTCTCACCAAGATGAATATTGTCATCACTATCTTTACTCCCTCAAAGTAAAATAGAAGAAGAAGAACAAGAGAAAGAACGGGAAGAAGAACGAGAGGAAGAAGAAGGAGAGGAAGCAGAAAGCTTTAAAAACTATGAATCCGACGAATAAATTTAGCTATTTTCTTTTTTATTACACCGTTTTAACTTTTACCAACCTTTAGGAATGATATTGTTTTACAATAGTTTTAAAACAAATACACAGCAGACCCGTAGAACAGACCTACTGGGAAAACCACGTTAAAAAACGCGCTAAGTGCACTACCTCATATGTGGCGTGGAAACGTGTGCAAAAAATGGGGAATACAAATTTTCCAACTTTTTAAGGCAATATTTCTCCAAACTCTTCAGAGAGTAGAGTATTTTATGACTAACAATTTTGTCTTAGGTGATTTTACGAAAAAACTCACGGTTTTGCTGATAATCGCGAAAAACTAATTTTTTGACTTGACCTCGGCCAATTTTTTGCACACACCGACACGATGAGAACTTTTGAGATTACTTTTATAATTATGTTTTGAGCAATTTTGCCGAGCTTCAGTTTCTTATGAATTTTTGTAACCTTGAATGTGTAAATCTCCCATCCCTTTCCCTGTCTCCAATACAGTCTGTATAACAATTTCCGACTTTCCATTAAAATTAAATGAAGAAGTTTTTTTTTTTTAATTGTGTGGAAATATGAATAAAATTAGTCTACACTTTTGTTCAAACCTTGTATCCCTAAAATAAAGAATTGCGATCCACTGGCTGACGTTTTGGCATCAACTCATTATATAAAACTTAGCTTCTTCAGTTGAGTTTATATCCCATATATCTCGTTTGAAGATAATTTTAATACAACTTTAGCTGACGCGAAGTAAAATATAGTAAGAAACCTAGAAAAAGTAAGTATGTAGCCTATAATACAACTTATTAAAATACAGATTTTATTGTAATACAATTACGATTCCGTCGAATAATGAATGTTCAATTGTTTCGCAAATATTTTTAATATAAAGTAATTTCTAAAACCTAAGGGTATTTTCTTTGCTTCGATCCTTGCACGTTGCAAGAGTATAAAATGTTCGGTTTCATCCGTACTTAGTCCTTCCTTATTTGTTATTAAACAAGGTTAATTTTGGTAACTGTTGCACTTCTTTCCGGATTAGATTGCAATTCGGTGACAAGCTTTAACTATTGCAGCATAACGGCATTTCCTGACCAATGAAGCAGGCGATGAACCGCTAAAGCGCTTAGCCCCACTTAAAGACTATGGTCGTCGATTGGGTTTTAGCGTATGTACATGCTTTGTTATTAGATTTTTTTGTTGGTACTCTCTAACATTTATTTCCGTTTTTTCACTTTATTGGCAACAAGTTTTTGATTTGAGTCTTTGATATGAAGAAAGAAAATTTCGGTTGCTTATTCATTCTGCATAAGAATATGGATGATTTTCATACTCTCGCAACTTGTTGCTACAGAGTATAATAGTTTAGTTGACCTAACGGTTGTTTGTATCACCTAAAACTAATCGAGTTAGTTATAGAGTTATATATATATAAATGATCAGGATGAAGAGACGATTTGAAATCCGGGTGACTGTCTGTCCGTCCGTCTGTATGTCCATCGGTGCAAGCTGTAACTTGAGTAAAAATTGAGATATCTTTTTGAAACTTGGTACACATGTTCCTTGGTACCGTGAGACGGTTGGTATTGCAGATGGGCGTAATCGGACAAAGCGCGATAAATCAAGCACTAAACAAGCCAGAGACATTAAATTTTATCTCTGAGATGGCATAAGATGATTTGATAGGAACCACGTTCAAAATTAGATAGTGGGCGTGGCACCGCCCACTTTTAGGTGAAACCCCAAATTCGGTACATAACGTTCTTTTCATATTTCTATGTTATAGTGCGAAAATGGGCGAAATCGGACTACAACCACGCCTATTTCCCATATAACATCATTTTCAATTCCATCTGATTCTTTCACTTTCCACTATGCATATCAAGCAACAATGATGATATCGGGGTAAAAGTTTGCGTGAATAATACTTTAAAGTATGCCACCTTGTGACCAAAAATTATCTTAATTGAACCAAAACTGTTCAAGCCCCTAGGTACTGAATATGTGGCCCCCGGTGCATGCTATTGTTGACTTTTTACCGAAAATATGGGTCAACATAGAACAAGGCGGCAAGATCCACAAAGAAATCTGAAACGAGTATACCATTTGAGTTTGCGAGAGTATAAAATGTTCGGTTACATAAGAACTTAGCCCTTCCTTACATGTTATACATAAATAGTTTTGTTATTATTAATATAATATTATAAGCTCAAGAGTACAATACTTCCATTATATGTTTAAGAAACTAACGGAATTTTTTTTATTGAAAAATATTGGAATTTGGAAATAGAAAAAAGTCACACACATCCATGTTCGACGAATATGGAGGATGAGGTATCGTTATCAACATCATAAGAAGAATTTGGACATTCGGACTCTCCCAACCATCGATATCTTAAAACTCCCGTTATTTTCTAAACACACCTCGTTTATAATGAATTAACTTTTTCTTGTCAAGTCTTTGAAAAACAAAATATTTTATCGTTTTAGCTTTACCTTGTAAGTCCGACCTGACTTCCAATGTACTCTGCATTAAAAATTCAGCTGGGCAACTGGTTTCAACTGCAGTAAATTTTTCAAGCGCATTTTCGTCAAATCATAATTCCCGTCTTTATGCGGGTTGCTTGGTATATCTCATACAAGGATTGCACATATTGTTCAGGAGGCACAAAAGTTGGCGGGTGATTCGCTATTTAATATAGTGTAGCAACCAAAGTAGTTCCACATTGCAACAGCAACATTTCAAACGGGGGCAACTTCCGATTATTTATCACTTCAACTACATATCTATTTTACGAACAATTGGTGCTCAATATTTGAAAAACTTGAGAGATGAAGTAAAAGAAGGTGATTCTGCAATCAAGATCACGTCGTTGTCCAGCTCGGAAAGTATTTTGTGCAGTCTAATCAGACGTAACAAAGGAAGAGTAAGTCTAACTGAAGAAAGACATACTTTCCATTCATGGTCACCATATGATTTCTAGACACAACTATCATTCTGAAACGAATTTGTCTAAATCTAATTACAAGAAGATGAAGATTAAAATTTCAGAGTTGAAAACCAGTAGGCCCATTATTAGAAAAAATTCATTTTAAGAGGATTTCAAAGATGTGTCAGTGAGGTATTATCTCTTCATCTCTAAGAATATGTTTCGAAACGGAATATTTCTTTCATTTATCTTCTACATGATTACGATAAATGTTCGATTTCAGGAATCATACAAAATGAGTTGTATAGCCAGAGCTCAGATATTTATACGAAACTAATTAGAGATGTTGAAAGTGATAGTTAGTTAAGAATGCTTATTTAGAATACAATGACTTCATTAGTTTATTTTAAATCCAGACATGCATTTTGTATAAAAAGTATGTATTTATTTTTGTACTGAATTGTTATTAAGAATAATAATTAAAATAAATAAGTTTTTTAAATATTTGAGTTTTAATTGAAAGCCATGAGAGGTAAGTACGATTTTCATTGTTGAACTAACTTGTTTGAAGAAATAAACAAAAATACACAGCTTTGCACCAACTGTGCTGATTTTGTTTTGAATCTTCTCTTTAAACTCCGCAGTACCTTCCGAAAATATAACGTCTGCTGACTTTAAAATATTATTTCCGAGGATCGCTTCATATCTCAAGTCGTTACTTGTGGTAACATGGAAAAAGACTGGTGCTGTAAGCCTGTCTAATTCTATATTTTCTGTAATATCGCCTATAGTATTCAGCTCACTTTCTTTGATGCTGACTAACCGTCGTTTCTCGAAACTTGATAGAGAGCAATTGAATTTTTTGAAAAAATCGTATCTAAGTAAGCTTAGATCAGACCCGGTGTCAACCATGGCATCAACATATACGTCCCTCTTCTTGAGCTTTTTAAAAATTAGTAAACTACATTTACTGTATGGACAATCAAGCATCGCATTAGCTGTACCCCTCTCGGTTTTTATCTGCATAACTACGTTGCTGCCACACTCGAAACTGCGACGTCCCATTTGACCACACTTAAAACATTTATATTGTTTGTTATTTACACCACAATCGTTCGCTAGATGTAAGATAATTCCACACTTGTAACATTTTCTTATTGCTTCACTAGTTCCTTGCTCAGCAGATACCTTTCCCGCAGTATAGTTTTATTAGACTTAGAGTCAGGAATACCTTCCACAAAATACCCTATTATACACATTTCGTCTAGATTTATTGGCTTGGCTGTACCCACCAAAACGAATAAATATTTCCTACATTCTCTATAAATCTCTAATGCATATAATTTGGTGCCTAACTCATCAACAATAGCAGTTTTTAACGAAGACCAATTTTTTATGCCCACCTGACTACGCAAGAGCCACTTAGCATCTTTTTTAAGCAGTTGCTTCGCATACACATATTTTTGAATTTCATTCCAACCTAAAGTAACAGCATTATCAACGAACTCTTTTAATCATTAACTAACTTCAAGGGAATCAATTCCATTGAATGAGGGTAAACTTCCTTCTATATCCTATAAGGTAAAGTTGGATTTGACTACTATGGTAGCCATTGAAGGAATAACTATATCTTCATAAGTACTTTCGTTTTCACTCTCCTCATCGTCACTTTGTATGACTTCGTAATGTCACAAAATCCTATCTCTCAGCTCACTCTTTCGTCCTGTCTGCGCTAGTTCAACTCGTTTTAATTCTTCTCTCAAAGCCGTTACCGTCATATCTAAAATCGTCTGACTGTCCATGTCTTACTTGGACATACGAATAGACGTGCATGCGCATCGTTGCGATTACCTTTACTCGACCGGCGGTTGTCCCAGGGTTGGAGATAGTGTATCCTGTGCAGAAAAACGGTCGTAGTAGTATGCGTTTAACCCACGGATCGATTCGGTTCACTGCCATATCGACTCGCAACCGTTACGGGAACTTTTGTTCCGTCCGGCGGTCATTTGAGTGACCTCTGTGCAGACCATTTGGCTAGAGTTGTGGGCTTTGTGGGTTGTAACCTTGCGAGAATGCCTTAATTGTCCGCTTGGGTCGTCGCTGCTATAGAGCGGGTCTGCGCTTGTGACACTTTCTGGTAGGCTGATTGTAGCTAGATCCCCTAGAGCCCTACCTAGACTAAATGGATAAGCTACTACTACTTGCGAGTAGTAGACCATTTACCCTAGGGCTGGATGTGAATACCTCGTCTTCGATGTGGTTTAGTAAGATATCCCGGCATACGTCTGGATATTAAAGCCACAGTCGAGGCGAGGCATTAAGTGAATTGGTGGTGGCTTAGAACCTCCACATTGTGAATGAGCCGAGTGAATGGTACACGTTTGATAGGCCTAGGGGCCTGAATGACATTGACGTGACGCTTATGAATCAGGCGGCAGATAGGGCGTTCGTAGCTAGATGGGAGGTTAAGGGAGGGTGGAGATTGAGTGATCATAATTTGATCCAAACTATTGTTACTCCCAAACTCCCACTCTCGCTGTATGAGAGTCTATTGCGGCGATGGCGTACCCCTGGTATCGACTGGAACCAATATAGACGATCAGAGACGCGGTATTAGGTATACCGCTTAGTGTGTTTGAGGATTTGGGTGTTGACGAGCAGATTTCTCGTCTTTATGAGGTAGTGTTGCGGGTGATCCATAGGTTACTTAAGAAGTGTGAAAAAAATATTAACGGAAATCAAATAAAGCAATCGGTTGTATGGGATATATATCTTATAGGTGCCCGAGAACAGTTTATAAAATACGAGCGCTTAGCTTTATAATTAAAGGCAGGATACCGGAAAATAAAAAATCTAAGTAATCGGTAGAATGGGAGTTAAGCGATTTAGGTGTCCGATCTGACCATTTCCGACAAATGATCGATATAATATCAAAACGCGCCTATGAATTAAATTAAATTCAAATAAATTAAAAAACAATATTTCAAAAACTGACGAAACAATTTTTATGAACTCTGAAAGATAAACTTGGCATTAAAAATCGCTGGCTCCAAACCGGTTTTATACCCATAGTCGCTTAGGTAAAGCTGTTCAGAATGATCCGTAGAATATTTCCCGCAGATGCGATATTTCCGTTTTGGCTACCTGTAAAACAACCCGCTCTAACTCACATACGCGTATAAGGAAAGCTAGTTTAGCTCTGCAATTACTATAAGCAGCATGTCTGTGTACCAAAAAATTAAAAAGTTTTTTTTCGACCGGAGTCAAATGATTTGATTTGCTGGTGGATGTTGTTTATTTCTTGCCTCCTCCGTGTATCATTTTAGACTTCATCGACAACTATTTTTATTTTGTCAATTTAATCGATAATTTTTAATAATTACCTATTTCAGTTATTGTCAGTTTAATAAAATGATGGGGCTAATTAAATTGAATACTAAACAAGTAAGGAAGGGCTAAGTTCGGATGTAACCGAACATTTTATACTCTCGCAAAGTCAAATGGTATACTCGTTTGAGATTTCTTTGTGGATTGACTGATATTTTCGGTAGAAGGTCAACTATAGGCACTGGGGTCCACATATTTAGTACTTAGGGGTTTGAACAGTTTTGGTTCGATTTAGACAATTTTTGGCCGCAAGGTGGCATACTTTAATCGCATTATTCACGCAAAGTTTTACCCCGATTTAATCATTGTTACCTGATTTGCATAGTGGAAAGTGAAAGAATCAGATGGAATTGAAAATGGTGTTACATGGGAAGTAAGCGTGGTTGTAGTCCGATTTCGCCCATTTTCGCACTATAACATAGAAACATGAAAAGAACGTTACGCACCGAATTTGGTTGAAATCGGTTAAGCAGATCTCAAGATATGGGTTTTCACCTAAAAGTGGGCTGTGCCACGCCCACTGTCTAATTTTGAACGCGGTTCCTATAAAGTCATCTTATACCATCTCAGAGATAAAATTTAATGTCTCTGGCGTGTTTAGTACTTGATTTATCGCGCTTTTAGTAGTTTTTAACAGTACCGTTATATGGGGAGTGGGCGGAGTTGCCACCCGATTTCAACTATTTTCACACCGTCAATAGAAGTGCTAAAAACATTTTCTTCTAGTGAATTTTGTTATTATAGCATTAGCGGTTTAGGAGATATGCACATTAAACCTATTAGAGGCGAGACCACGCCCACTTTTTAAAAAAAAATTCTAACTGCAGATGCCCCTCCCTAATGTGATCCTGTGTACCAAATAACAGTCTTGTATCTTATTGCGGAGCTTAGTTATGGCAAGTTATTTGTTTTTGATTAATGGCGTTTTGTGGGCGTGGCAGTGGTCCGATTACGCCCATCTGCAATACCAACCGTCTCACGGTACCAAGAAACATGTCTACCAAGTTTCATAAAGATATCTCAATTTTTACTCAAGTTAGAGCTTGCACGGACGGACGGACGGACAGACAGTCACCCGGATTTCAACTCGTCTCTTCATCCTGATAATTTATATGTATATAACCCTATATCTAACTCGATTAGTTTTAGGTGATACAAACAACCGTTAGGTGAACAAAACTATTATACTCTGTAGCAACAGGTTGCGAGAGTATAAAAACAGTTACCTAAGTTAATGTATTATTACTAATATTTTAAGAAAAAAACATTGAGTAAAGTACCTTGTTGCATATGTTTTATTTAATTTTTTCACACTAACGCTTACAAGATAGCATAATTTCATATTCTTTTGTGTCCGTTCTTATTTAAGTAAAACCATGAAAGCGGGTGCGGGAGATAAATAGTAGTTCTTGTTTTGAAGCTAAAACTACCAATGATATAGCGGTAAAAAAGCTACAAGCCGATTAAATGGGTATCATGAAGACTACCTAAGATCACTGCAGCAGAAAACACAATTCATCAAGCAGCGGAAAAGCCGGCAGAATAGCACAGTTCTATTTCGTTTACTCTATAATATGCAATCTCTTCATAATTTCAGTATATTGATTGGCATCGCTGTGAGCTAATTACAATGGTAAACATTGTTTTTATAACACGAACTTTGTGAAGATTTTTGGTTATGTTGGTGTACCCTCTTTAACAATATACAAGTATAATAATTTTTTTTCAAGTTCAGCTTTTTGTGACAGCTACATATTCATTTCTGACCTGATATACGCGTCTCTTTAAGATGACGTGATTTAAACGACTGTTCAGATATTGCATTCGACTACAACATATACGAGTATATGTTTCTTACATCACAATCATGTCACGAAAGTGTTCTAAAAACCCGGCCGTTTTTGTTATGTGTGTGTGGAGAATTAACTTTTTAATCTTAGCGTCGTAATTCATGTCATTAATTGAACAGTGCTGTTTAGACACATAAATGTTGTGTAACGTTTATGCTTATGCTTTTAGGTTGGG